ATAACCAAGCTTTAACTGATTTATAATGACTGAAACATACACATTATAAGAACAAAAGTAGCCGCAGTAACTGGTCCAAGAGGATACTTATTCCTTTATAAATTGCAATGTATCTGACAAAGGATATGCTAATGGAAAAGGATAGTCCTTGTTTTGGAAAAAGGAAAAACAACAACAAGCACTTATACTATGTCCCTAGTGCTATCTGGGATAGGTTGTTGGTCACCAGCCTGAAGTTTCAAACAAGGAGACAGAGACATCACACCATCATAGTTGAGGCCACTAAAATCACCATGCTCATCAAACACTTCCCTTTTTTTAGCACTGGGAATTGAACCTTGGGGCGCTTTACCACTGAGCTACATCACCAGTCCCACTAAGTTACTGAGGGTCTTGCTAAATTGTGGAGGCTGGCCTTGAATTTGTGATCCTCCTGCTTCAGTCTCCTGAGTTGCTGGGATTATAGGTGACAACACCTGGTTCATCAAATACTTTCTGTTTACAGTTGACTTTTCAAACTTTCTTTCCTACAAAGAGGAAATACACTGGCCAGTCAATGCAAACTTCTACCCTTTTTTTTTTTTTTTTGAGAGAGAGAGAGAGAGAGAGAATTTTTAATATTTATTTTTTAGTTTTCGGCGGACACAACATCTTTGTTTGTATGTGGTGCTGAGGATCGAACCCGGGCCCCACGCATGCCAGGTGAGCGCGCTACCACTTGAGCCACATCCCCAGCCCAAACTTCTACCCTGTTTGACAGTTACTTTTCTCCCTTTAAAAACTGATAAATTGGTTTTCTGATTTCTAGTGAATTTCTTGTGTTTGATTATTATGAGCCAGTTGCTTGCTCTTGATCAATGCTGGATATAGTAAAACATCTGAATTTCTAGATCAGCAAAGCTAAAGATTGGACACTAACTATAGCAATTTGAAATAGACATGCCACCCTAAGTGGCTACTTACCTCTCTCAATGTATCAGTAATTTCATCTATTGACCCTTGATAGAATTCATAAAAATGATTAGAAAAAATTACACCCAATGAAATTGATATTTTACAAATAGAATGTAGAGTGAGAAAACAAGACATAAAAGAACATTTAGGGGCTGCAATTGTGGCTCATAGGTAAAGTGCTCACCTAGCACGTGCGAGGCCCTGGATTCCATCCTCAGCACCACATAAAAATAAATAAAATAAAGGTATTGTGTCCAACTACAACTAAAAAGTAAATATTTAAAAAAGAACATTTAACTTGATTTTATTTACATATAGTTCAAAGACAGATACAATTAATCTCTGTTGTTCAGTGAACTAGATATTAAAGCAATGCAAAAAAACTATATCATGATAGTGTTTATAACTAATCTTACTGGTGTAGGACTGTTATTTGGAAGTATACCCAAGGGATTTCTGTGGTGTGGGCAGTGTCCTACTTCTTGATCCAAGTCCTTATATGGGCACCACACAAATAAATATAAAATTGGAATTTTGAGAAGTATAAATACCAGATGGAGCCAATAAGAACTTTTATAATAAGAAAGTTGGTCTATTCAGGGAGGTCAAGAAAAACTTTTTAGGGCTGAAGATGCCTGTAGTGCAGTGGTAGAACACTTGCCTCATATGCTCCAGGCTCAGAGTTTTTTGGGGGATGGTGGGGTATGGGGGATTGAACTCAGGGCTCAGGGGCACTTGACCACTGAGCCACATCCCCAGCCCTATTTTGTATTTTATTCAGAGACAGCGTCTTACTGAGTTGCTTAGCCCCTTGCTATTGCTGAGGCTGGCTTTGAACTTGTGATCCTCCTGCTTCAGCCTCCCAAGCTACTGGGATTACAGGCATGCGCCACCACACCCAGCCCCAGAGCCCAATCTCTAGTACCACAAAAAGAATATTAAAGAAGGAGGAGGAGGAGAAGGAGAAGAAGAAAAAAAGAGGAAGGGGAAAAAAAGGCCCCACCAAATGTAGATCTAAAGAATTATGAAACATTAACTAGGGCCAGGCATGGTGGCACATGCCTGTAATCCCAGCCGCACAGGAGGCTGAGGCAGGAGGATTGTGAGTTCAAAGCCAGCCTCAGCAAAAGCAAGGTGTTAAGCAACTTAGCGAGAAATAAAATAAAAATAAAAAATAAAAAAGTTAACTAGGTAAAGAGGAATGTGAGGAATGCTCAAGGCAGAGGGAAAGTATGTCACTGGAAAGTTTTGAATTTAGTTTAGTCCTGGCACAGAGAACAGACCTAAGCAGCATGGCATTTTACATCAGCTGTCACAGTAGGCCTGCCAGTTCCAGTTAAGTATATTGTGCTCTGCACAAAGATACATGGATAAGGCAGAAGTGAGGACTGAAATCTGAACCATGGAGGAGGGGAAAAGATGCACAGGGCATCTCTCCAGAAGAGGGATACCTTTTGGTAAGTCCCACAAAGAATACCACCTACAAGCAGTGGCCTTGTGTCACACAATCCTCAATTCTCAGAACATCACATGCTGGGAGAAGACATTAAATGCTGAAGGTGGGTTGTGGGACATTACCAGGTGGAAAGCCCTCTGATCTAATGGCAGTATTTAGCTTGTCCAAATGAGCAATCTGACCCCGTTCACTTCCACCCCCACTCCCCCACTGCTATTCCTCTGGTGTCTCAGCTGAACCTTTAGGTGGGGCTCAGGGCGAGACTCTGTTTTTCCACTGGAGGACATGAGTCAGTGAACAGTGAGGTTCCACTTAATCACTACCCAAAAACAAGATTCTTAAAATCAGGAGCTAGAAAAGAAAGGAAGTGATTAATATAAAAGTCAGGATAGTGATTATCCCTGTGGCAAGGTGAGGTGGGTAGGTGGAGGGGGTCTGCTGGGGAAAGGATATATTGGGGTCTTCTGGAGTCTGACAGTGCTCTATTACTTGACTGGGTGGTTGCTTTATAATTATACTTACATGTCTTACATACTCTTCTAAATGTTATTATATTTTACTATTATAAACAACTAAAAGATACGAACTATTAAAAGTTCTTAAGAAAGGAAAAAAATGACCAAATTTATATTATTAAAAGATCACTTGGGTGTTGAACGGAAAAGTCATTGAAGGTGGGGAAAGGCTAGAAGCAATGAAACCAGTTAAAGGTAGCTGCTGTAATTTGGTAAGAGAGTATAATGACCTGAGCTTTAAAACGGTAAGATATTAGGAAAGCAGTCTGTACTATTTTTAAAAAATACAGTCAAAATAGAACAGAGGCTGGCACTGCCTGTCAGCTCACTTTTTGCCTCTATCCTTGGGAGAATCTGGATCAGGAATCACAATCCCAGAGCAGGCATGTGTCTACACAGACAAATATGCTCCTTACCTTCTCTTTGGTAAATCTCTTCAGAGAGGCTCAGAATGCCTGGCTAGTAGCAGTAGAAGCACATTTTTTTTTTTATGACACCATGATATTATTCCAAGTTGAACTAACATAGGGGTTTCCTATCATAACATCTCATCATTCATCCATAATATCTGATCACTGGAGACTTTACAAAGTATTTTATTATCTATTCTCTGGTACCAGAATGTTAGCTCTGGAGGGCAAAGACTTATTCATTTTGTTCGCTATTGTATTGCCTAGAACTGAACTTGATCCATGGTACATGCTCAATAAATATTACCAAATAACCACTATATATATATATATATATATATATATATATATATATATTTTTTTTTTTTTTTTTTTTTTTTTTTTTTTAAGTTGCCTAGGCTGGCCTGGAACTTGCAATCATTCTCACTCAGTTTTCTGAGTAGCTGAGACTACAAGTTTGCACCATAGCACACGACTCACATTTTATCACTATAGTCATTATTATTATTATTGATATTTAATCATCACAACAAATCTATAAAAATGATTAGGACATAAATTATTATCCCCATTTTATAAAATAGAAAATAAGAGATTTGGGAACTGGGATTGTAGCTCACTGCTACAGTGATTGCTTATCATATGTATGGCACTGAGTTCGATCCTCAGCACCACATAAAAATAAAGGTATTGTGTCCATCTACAACTAAAATATATGTATATGTAAATATATATATATATATATATATATATATTTTTTTTTTTTTTAAACAGCGATTTGGGAAGATTAAGGAACATGTCAAATAGTCTACAATTTAATTGAAGTATCAGTTTTCTTGTTTTTTCCCTCTTCTTTAGAGTGATTCTTATAGCTCTGAAATACAGCTGCAAGTATTCCAAAACACATGAGAGGTACTATCGGACATCCTATATTCACTGATGTGCCAGGTAATAGAGTGAATGAGGTCTATCCAACTTCCATTGCACCAATACCTACAGTTCCTTCAGAGGAAGGCATTGTTCCTCTGCAAAATCAATCTATCTGACCCAAGGCTACGCTCGTATTTCTCTCCATGGCCCTCACTTGTCTCTACTCCCTACCCCAGCCTTTCCACCTCTCTAAGCAATGTAAGCTAGGGAAACCCTGTTATTATAAAAACACGTTTTAATATTTTTCTCATAGGAAAAAGAAAAGAAAAAAGTGACAATCAGTAGTTTTGATGCTTTTCAAAAACCTCTGTCATCCAAATGGCATCCCATGAGGAGGTTAAAAACAATATTCTATAAAAAATTAATTGTGCTCTCTTTCTTCTTAATATTAATTAAAATTAGTGATTTGAAGTATAAACCACAACTCTGATGCCTAGGGAACTCTGAATGTTCAATTAATATTACATTAGTATTTATACATCTGGAGTTGTGTTTTGCCTCTGTAGGATTTCCAAACTCTAAAACACTAGCAAACAGAATATTAAAAACAGTATTTTTAATAAAATACCTAAATGTATCAAAACCAGAGCAGTCAGACTTTTAGATTGCCCTCTTTCTTCTCCTTCAAGGTCTGATAATTACTTTGTCCTGAGAGCAATTTGGTCTAGAAGAGTTGAATCACTATAGTCAAATAGTGTATGTAACTGCTCTGAGAGCGTCACACACAGGACTCACCAGAAACTCACTGGCAAACTCTTCTTTGTTAATTTTCTTGTTTTGGGCCTCATCCAGGAACTTCTGCAGAATTTCTCTTTGGTCCATGCTGCAGAGTAAGAGAAACAGTCTGTGAGTAGGTTAAGGGAGGGCATGTCAAATGTGTGTCATGGCCGAGACACCACCAAGAAGCCACTGCTGCTGCCTGAACATAGCATGCTGAAGGCTGTGGTTTACTGACTTCATCACAAGCTCTAGAGGAAATTAGTATGAAACCAGCCTCTGTGGTCACACAACAAAGCCATCATCTCACTCCAGGGCCCTAGCGCCTTCCTTCAACAAAGAAAGCTGGTTACAATTCAAGTTTTTAACAAACAAGAGGCTAACCAGAACTTAAAATATTGTCTGCTTAGCTCTGAGACTGTTCCACCCCATCACCTTTAAGCAAAATTCATCTTTCTTTCTGCTTTCCAGAGAAAATGCAGAACTACAGTTCTCATGGATAACTTTTGCCTCTCCCCATTTTGTCAGTGAGTATAAAGGCTCTGTTGACATCTTGGTTTTTTTCATGTTCCATATGAACTCTACAAAGTTCAGTTAGGCCCAGAAAGGAAACCGTGTTTGGAGTGACACATCTTCTACCTGGACTGTTCTCCCAAAAGTTTCTTGTCAGTGTGATCAACAGTAAACTTCTGTTCATCAGAGAAGGATTTTTATTCAGAGCTTTTAAAATCTGCCATACAGACCTCATATTTTCTTTTGGATGAAGCAAAGTCAGCTGCTTCTAACAGTCTATGTCTCTCCCAGAGCTGGGGAAGTCCTGCACTCCATTAGGGAAGTATTGATTTCAGCACCTCTTCAACCCCCCAGCAGCTCTTTGAGCTTCACCTGGGTTCTGGACATAAAGGCCAAGAGCACTGGTCTACATGGAACCAGGAGCTAGTGGTCCTTGACAAGAGTACCTGACAAGGCAGCACAATATCTCCAGAATGTAATGCTGGCAAACAGTAACAAAAAGAAAGTAAAATCAACTACCTTTCTGACTACAGTGTGAATTCTAGGTCAAGCCTGAGAACCAGGCATATCTATAGTACCAGCACCTCAAGAAGCTAAGGCAGGAGGATAGCTTGAGTCTAGGAGTTCAAATCTTGCCTGGGCAACATACACAGATTCTGTCTCAAAACAAACAAAGCCTGAAGAACAATTTCTAGAGTAGACATTTTTACTCTGCAATGAATGTCTTAGAACAGATATTGTTTCAGGAAGTCATTCTGTATGTGTGGCATTGGCCCTGACAAACAGCTGTTCTTGAAAAAGCTTCAGTGCCTCAGTTTGCATAAATTCTCTCCTCAGTGGGTACAAATCCACCCAAGGTCTAATTCAGTGTGAGAATAAACCGAAATGAGCATATTATCTTGGTTCAATAAATGATATGAAAACAAAATTAGTCTGAAATAATCCTGAGGAAAACTGGGAAATATGTTGTTTGGACTTCCTCTATTTAAGATATTAGCAATCCTTTCTGTTTTCCCAACATTATTCAAACTCCCTTCAGGAAATCATGATTCTGAATATTACCAAGAGGCTGCATCCTTTTTATTGGGCCCAACAGTAAGGAAGGAGATAGTTGAGGTGTCTTGGTTACAGGCAACTTGAAGCCAATATTCCAAATAGTTTTGATCCCAGTCCACATAAATTAAAATGAACTATAATTCCTCAGCAATAATGTTGGAATATGATAATATTTCTCAGATTATCCCCACCTAGCATTAAGGTGACTTTCTTGCTGCTCTAAATAATGCAGTGTTTGACTATTTAAAAACACATAAAATATGGGAAAACTTTACATTAAAAAGAATACAAAATTTTAACCCATGCCTGTATTCTCAGAGACTCAGGAGGCTGAGGCGGGAAGACCACAAGTTCAGGGCCAGCCTCGGCAACGTAGTGAGGCCCTAAATAACTCAGTGAGAACCTGTCTCAAAACAAAAAATAAAAAAGGCCATGGTAAAAATGCCCCTGGGTTCAATTCCTAGTACAAAAAAAAATTAAAATCACAATAAAATATATGTAGTGAAGCCTAAAAGATGAAAAAAAAAAAGAGTCAATTGTGTGTAATGGAATTAAGGATGCTTTTAAACTTATACAACTTTCTTAATTAGAAAAAACTCATAGAAATTCATTAATTCATAGCACCCTCTGGGCATCTCATAGTTCCCCTGACCATGTTGGTGCTGTTGCTTAACTGGAGAGAGTTGCTGGAAGGAGAGTGGATGACAGAATTTCATGCACTTGGTGTCCTGTGTGTCAAAATCTTCAACCAAAATTGGAAAGTTTTGCCGAATGGAGAGAATTATTGAGGTTAACGTTGCAAAAGTAGATGTCACAGAGCAGACAGGACTGAGTTTATCACAACTGTTCTTTCTACAATTTATCATTGTAAAGATGGTGAATTTAGGCGCTATCTGGAATCAAGGGCTAAGAAGGACTCCATCAACTTTATAATCGAAAAGGAGTAAAGAACATTGAACCTGTTTCATCATGGTTTTGTCCAGGTTCTGTTCTACTTGCCACAACTATTTTATTGAAGACCTTGGATTACCAGTTTGGGGATCATACACACTTTTTGCTTTAGCAACTCTGCTTTCAGGACCGTTATTAGGACTTTGTATGATATTTATGGCGGACTGCCTTTGTCCTTCAAAAGCGCACAAACCACAGCCATACCCTTAAAAAAAAAAAAAACAAAAAAAAACCTCATTACTAGAATTTTCTCAACCTTTGAAAAAAGTGGAGGAGGAACAAAAGGCTGATAAAGAAGATGTTTCAGAAGAGGAAGCTGAAAGTAAAGAAGAAACAAACAGACTTTTCACAGAATGCAAAAGACAATGCTCTGTGGGTCCATTGTTGTCCACTGGTAAATCCTAGTTAATTTTTTTTAAAATGAATGTTTTTCTCCTTTATTTATATGCAGTGCTAAGAATCGAACCCAGTTTTGTTATTTATTTATTAAATATTTATTTTTTAGTTGTAGCTAGACACAATATCTCTATTTTATTTATTTATTTTTTTGTGGTGCTGAGGATCGAACCCAGGGCCTCACACATGCTAGGTGAGCGCTCTACTGCTGAGCCACAATCCCAGCCCAAATACCTTTTTTAAAAATGTTTATTTTTTAGTTTTAGGTGGACACAATATCTTTATTTTACATTGATGTGGTTGTGAAGATCGAACCCAGTGCCTCATGCATGCTAGGTGAGCACTCTACCACTGAGCCACAACCCCAGCCCCAGTTTTGTTATCTTAACATCATGATTTTAATAAAAACTGAAGATTGACCACTTTTTCTTTTTTGGTACTGGGGATTGAACCCAGGGACCCTCAACCACTGAGTCCCATCCCCATCTCTTTTTTATATGTTAATTAGAGACAGGGTCTTGCTGAATTATTAGGGCCTCTCTGAATTACTGAGGCTAGCTTTGAACTTGTGGTCCTTCAGCCTCCCAGGCCTCTGGGATTACAGGTGTGCACCAGGCCGTCTGGCTTGATCATTTGTTTTTATGTGAACTGTGACTTGCTTTATATAGTACAGGATTCAACCTAGATTGTTGGATTGAACAGTTTTCATTAAGAAAATAAAAGCAGGTATAAAAGTTTACAGTATTCAAGTGGATATGTCAAGAGCTATGTAATGTTTTGAACAACTAATAAAAAACAAAAACAAACAAACAAAAAAACCATCATTGAGGTCCAAAAAAACAAAAACAAAAAACCAGCAACGAAAACATGATAAATATGCAACTACAAGATATCATCAATTTGAATGTATGAAATATGTCAAGAGCTATGTAATGTTTTGAACAACTAATAATAAAAAAAAAGATATCAATTTGTTTAAATAAATTATGCTTTAAATTAAAAAAAAAAGTTTACAGTATGATTTAAGAGAATTATAGTTGTTTAAACAATGTATAATTTTGAAAAATCTGAAAAAAGCAATAATATTTGTACATCTTTGTTTAATAATAACCTGTATCAAGTCTGAATTTTAAAAAATTACATTTCTCAAGGTTTGCATTATTGGAGTATTTAAGATTAGAGAAGATTTATCATTTGATATGATTTTTCTCAGTTTCACTGTGTGGGAAAAAAAAAAAAAAAGAACATATTTCCCATAAATGGGAACTTTTTGCCCAATGTCTTGAGAAATGTATATTTCAGTGATAACTCTGTGGTCTTTTAGAGATATAGTTAAAAATTTCCTCATTTTTAAAATTAGGCAACTAATAAAAAAACTACCTTGTTTTAATTATAGTTTTCTGCACATCATATACAGAATATGCTACTAATTGAGAAAGTTTTTATAAGCTTAGGTGTTCTCTTGATTCCTATAATTGTTAATTGCTTTATTTTCTGTTCCCTTGGTCAGTGTGTGGTTTGTATTTTTTAACTTGCCATGGATTATATACCTCAAATTAGATGATATAAACAGTATCACTATTATACTTACTGTTGGTAAATAGTACTTTTTTGTTGTTTCAAGTTGAAATTTACTGAGAGATCCATCGAACTGAGCTATATTGATAATTTGAAATTTTGGTCATTCACTCCAGATTTTACATTATTATTGTTGAACCTTGTCTTGAATTTTGTCCTTGTCTTGAATTTTGTTGTTTTGGTGGTTTTTTTTTTTTGGTATTAGGGATTGAACTCAGGGGCACTTGACCACTGAGCCAAATCCCCAGCCCTATTTTATTAGAAACAGGGTCTCACTGAGTTGCTTAGCGCCTCACTCTTGCTAGGCTGTCTTTGAACTCATGATCGTCCTGCCTCAGCCTCCTGAGCTGCTGGGATTACAGGCATGTGCCATGGTGCCTGGCTTGAATATTTTGACTTTGTTCTTTTTCTTTTTTGGTTTTAATG